GAGTTTTTCTCAATTCACAAAATTTTTAATTGCACTAACTTGTTATTAAGTTTAGAGAAAAAAACTTTAAAATCTTAGATTTTTAATATAGTATTTTGTTGGGTTCAATAAATAAAATATCTATTTTCCAAATCATTAAAATTTTATACTAACACATTTAATTTGGAATCATATTTTTTGTCAATATAAAAAAAATTAAAGAGACAATGTCTAATAAACAATATATTATAACTTATTAGAATTAATTAACATTAGAATTAACTATTAAATTGTTGGAAGTAATTGTTTAAGTTATTAGAAAGAAAAAAAGACTTATAATTTTTATTTTTTTTTGAATAAATAAATTAAAAAGACACATGAAAAAAAAATGACACATAGCAGCCTCTCATAACTTCAATTTAAAAAAACTTTACTATATTATATAAGATTGATTGATAATTCTGATTAGGATTATTATAATCCGATTATATATTTATATGTAATGATACATATTTTTGAAAAATAAACTTTTAGGTCATCCACATTGGAGACATTTTACCAATGTCTCACAATATAAAAATATTAAAAACACACTCTCTCTTCCTTTTACTCAACTTTATACCTTCTCATTCATCATTTTACTCAACTTTATACCTTTTCTTTCATCCTTTTACTCAACTTTTATTAATTTTATATTTAAACACACCCCAATTCTCTTATGTCTTCCCCAAGACACAATCTCTCCAAAAATACCCACTATCTCTTCTCTTTACTCAAATTTTATTAATTTTATATTTCAATATACCACACTATTTCAACAAAAAACACTCTCTTTTTTTCTTTTACTCAAATTTTAATAATTTTATATTTAAAAACACCCACATTTTATTACTAATGTGGATGCTCTTGCATTATTTGCCAAAAGAAGAGTGAAGAAGAGAAGCGCACATGTTTGTTAGAAGGAGAGAGAAATTAGTATAAATATTTCTAATCTTAAAATTGATTAAAATTGTAGAGAAATATTTTTAAGTACAAAAACAATATGAATATACGGTACATATTATGTTTATTTCATAAACTTGAAAAATGTGTAAAACGTTCAACATAATGATGAATGTTTGAGGAGATGTAATATCTTATGGCTCAGCGACGGGCTCTAAGACGGATTTAAAGCCACCACACTCATCATTCGAGTGGCGGTGGTCCACAAGCTCGCCGGAACCGACGGCCAGAAATTTCTTTTTCCGATCTGCAGGTAATCGTCTTCCCGATTCTGTGTTGTTGGACAAGGCAGAAGGATTGTGGCTATTGGGCCTGGGCCATTTGTTCTTTAGGTGGTTAGTCTTTATGTTGTTGGGCTTGGTAGGGAAAGTTTGGTTTAAGGGCTTGGCCCATAGTTCCTTTAGTTGGTTAGTGCACTTGGAATTTACCACTTTCCCAAGACGTTTGTTGATTGTAGTTAAGTGTACCGTTTTAACGACATCTCTAGTATCAGTTTGTGTGACTAGCGCCCATGGTTGGCAGCTATGTCTTGAGTGTAAATCCAGGAATTTTGTTTCTTTGGTGACTCGTTCTGAAGCCCGAGTGGTTTTAGAAGAATGCAAAAGAACTTTCTCGGTATAATCCGAATCCTTACAATTGGTTCGACCTATATCCTTAGGCTCGAAAGTTTCCAAACTTCATGGTTTATCCCATGCCCTTTCATCTATGTTTGAAAGATTTGAATCTATCTGTTTTAGTTTCATCTTGGTATTATATGCCTTTGTAACCGAATCTCTTTATTGAGTCTAATGAAGTTCTTGGTTGTTCAAAAAAAAAAAGAGATGACATAGTGAATAAATTTTGTATTTTTTATTCTTATACATTATATAGTAAGAACAAATAAAAGTGAAACTTAAACATGCAAATAAAAATGAATGGCAATATAAGCCGCTTCACAAGTATAATGTTTACATAAATCTTATTTTGTT